ATCTGTTCAAGTATAATAATCAAGCAGCAACCAGTAACGATAACCAGTGTAGCTGCCTGCTTGCACAGGCAGTGTGTCTTGCTGTGGAAACATTGGTGAGATGATTCAGAACATTTTTAACTGAAAGAGAGGCCATATTGACTTAGAAAATAGCAACTTTTAATTTTTAATTAGTCTTAGTACACGTATGTATATGTGTGTGTAATATATTATATGAAAAGATAACTGCATTTATTTTTTTGTCATTTGTAGATATCATGCTTTTGTGTAGTGCATTTAAACTATAATTGCAAAAAAAATGCTTCTAACAGCTTTTTAATAGGTTTTAAATAGTATTACGTTGAGGATTCAAAAAACTTAATTTCTGAAAATGTTGAAATCTGTTATCTTTTACCTTTTGTTAATGTGTGTATCTTTTTTTCTTTCTAAAATTAGGTCCTGTTCATATTGCAGTATTTTATCATAATTCCTGTATAGAAGAACTTTATTGTGTCATATCACCATATCTTGCCAGTACACAACCCCAATACTTGATATAATGCTGTTATTTAGTAATTTTGTTTTTGACTGAAATGTCATATTTCCCTTTCACCTTTTATGACATCCCAACTAAGACCGGAAGCTTTTTGTGTCTTGCTCAACATTATAGGGTCAAAGTGTGTTCATCGTGTGTTTAAGTGATGCTTTATCTTTGTGTTTTATTATTTTCATAATGCCACCATACACACACAGAATTATGGGAAACTTATTGTTACACAAGTCTTGTTGACTCATGGACCATCGAAATGAGTTGTTCGTATAGGGTTGGATATAAAATGTACACATGAAATGTGCACAAAAACCTATTTTTACATTCAATGTTCAGAATGCAAGTACTTGTTTTACACCCTCAAAAAGTGATGAGTAACACTTTCAAAATAATTTATTAGTTAATGTGTTCACTAACATTAACTAAGTATGAATAATCTTGTGTAGCATTTATTAATTATAGTCCAGCATTTATTAATGTGTTATTAAAATTCAAATTTGTGCTTTTTAACATTATTTAATGCACAGGGAATGAACATGTTAAGTTAACAATGACAGAGATGAACAAATACCATAATAAATGTAATTTGAATTGTTTGTTCGTGTTAGTAAATACATTTACTGATGAATGATTATTTTTAAAGTGTTACCAAGTCATGTACTCGCTTAAATGTGAAACACTGCACTTCCAGTTAGATTATACCTCATTTTCAATATCACTGTTTATAAAAGAAAAATTATTACTTTCACCCTCATTTATGATTTTTAAAAATAAAATAAATAAATAAAATTTGCCAATTAGCAATGTCTTCTGTATTGTCTCTAAACATTGGAAATTCTTTAGTTTCCGGAGTTTTCTACTCTTTTCAAATAAAATTTTATTCATTTTTACCATAATTTAAGGATGACCTACTAAAATGTCATTGATCGTGATGGGTCATTGATCTGCTTTGGAACAATAATTATTGTGAAAAAGTAAACTTGTACCAATTTTAACTGTACCTGTATTGTAACAATTGCAATTGTAACAACCGTTAATACAAAAAAAGGTCAGATTATTTAAAATAATAATAGTTTGGTGCCAAGTTAAGAGCGCAGCCACTAAATACTAATTAATTTGCCAAAAATAAATATATTTTTACATGTTTACTCGTTTGTCAGCAAGAGAAGTTTTTTAAATCATTCATTCATCTTTTGGCTTATTCCCTTTATTATTCAACAGTTGCCACAGTGGAATGAACGCCAACATCCAGACACTCTTGCATTCACACTCATACACTACAGCCAATTTTTAACTTATTTAATTCACCTGTACCACGTCTTTGTACTTGTGGGGGAAACCGGAGCATCCAAAACATGCAAACTCCACACAGAAATGCCAACTGACTCAGCCGAGGCTCGAACCAGCAACCTTCTCGCTGTGAGGTGATTGTGCTACCCACTGCGCCCCCCCGTTTTTTAAATCATTTAAAATATCTAATTTTACACGTCTCTTTTAATAAGTACATTTTAGAAGATATTCATTTTTACATAATGATAATAGAACTTTATTTCACCAATATTTTGACATTTTATTTGAAACACTCGAATTCAAACTTCTTTCCTTTTGTATAAAGTTGCTTATTTTTGTTTGATGCAGTCTTCAAAATGGCACGTCCTGACTTTATAAACAGGAAATGAAATGATGACTCTCCAGAAATATTCTGCTCTAATCTAACATAACTTGAAAACTACTTTCATGAAGAGTTGCAGGATCTTCTCCATACATGGCAGTCTTCTCCATCTCCATGACTTTCTCTTCGTGTTTCCATTTGACCTCTACAATGGCATTTTGCCAGAGGGAATCATTTGCTGTTGTGTCTATCTCCAGTGAGCTGAAACACAGAGCCTCTTTTCTTTCTTCTGCTTCTTAGCCTCTATTCCCAGTCACTTCCAGGAAGTGTTTCCTCCTCGCTGGAATGTTTATAAAGTTTGTCTCTCTTTTTTTGCTTTTATGTCGCAGTGCAACTCTCATCCTCCCTTCCGCTCTGGAATGAGTGCATGTTCGTGATGCCATTTTTAGTCATGTGCTCCTGCTAAATCAGTTGAGCTGTATTCTCTGCCAGGCTTCATAATTGCTCATTTCATTGTGCATAAAAATGTATATAGATATATTCTTATGTTCGGAATGTAATGTATCACAGTTCTCTCCTACCATGACTCTAATTTACATCCTCCAAAACACATGTCCTGACATTTTATCCTACTCATCAGGTTATGCTACCAACCCTGTATTTGAATAGCTCTGGGGTTGAAGTTAGAGATTAGCTAGGTTAAGGTGATATTACAGCTTCATATCACACTACTCCTCATTAAAATTTACACTGGTAGAAAAATCTGATGGGTAGCATATTACGTCATCAAAATGTGCTACCTATGTTTTGAATGGGAGGTAGGATGATTTGATCGATCTATATAGGATACGTGGCTGGCCGGAATGGCGATTTGCACATCAATATAGCAGCATTTTTTATGACGTTGTATAACAATGTTTTGTTTTTACAGTACTGTGAAGGTTGGGGTAGGGTTGACATTATTAAAATAAAATTAATGGGAAATTTAATAAATAATATAAATCATTTTCGTTAACTTCCGGCCGCAACCATATCTGATCTAGCAACAACCTATTTGCCTTAAGCGATCTGATTGGCTGATGCTTCCATTTGGCGCTTGAAAACTTGAGAAATTCCCAACTTCTGCAGCGAGCAACACCGCTGAATTAGCGCAGATGGGTCCACAATTCAGTTCAGCAATGTTTGACATCACCCATTGAAAGTGAATGGGAAACGTTGACACTGACGCCCCGTGTGAATGGGGCAGTGACATTACAACATTATTATTTTGTGCTGTCAGGCAATTATTTGTTTCCACAAAAAAGCTATGTACATAATAGTGTATGTTTTGACTATTTTTTAATATGTATATATAATTACACTTGCGTATAAATAAATATTTTCATATTTGTATATATACATTAAACAACAAATCTGTAAATGTATATTATATATTTTTAATGTAACAATCAGCGTATAAATTGTTTTTATATGTAAAATATATATATATATATATATACATATATATATATATATATATATATATATATATGTATATACATATATATATATATACATGCAGACATACAGATAGATAGATAGATAGATAGATAGATAGATAGATAGATAGATAGATAGATAGATAGATAGATAGATAGATAGATAGATAGATAGATAGATAGATAGATAGATAGATAGATAGATAGATACTGTGTTTTATGTAAAAATATTTATTATATAAATAGACATTTTCATCCATGTGTATTGATTATATAAATATGCTCAGAAAAATGACAATGTCAGTAACAAAGACATTACAAAATTATCATTACTTGCTGCTTGGGAAAACTCGGGTCGCCGTGAGCACCATGGTTCTATATGTCAGCGCACTTAACCACTAGGCTATTGGCGCCGAAGTCTGCGTGAGTTCTAATGCCCCAGTAAAAAGTGAAAGGGACACCAAACTGTTATTGGGCACCGTCTTTCAGATGAGACGTTAAACTGAGGTTCTTACTCTCTGTGGTCATTAAAAATCACATGACACATCTTATAAGGAGTAGGGATGTGGCCCCAGTGTTCTGGCCAAATTCCCTCCATCAGCTCTTACGATCATGGCCTCCCAATCATCCCCATCTACCAAATTGGCTCAATCACTGTCTCTCCACTCCACCTATAGTTGGTGTTTGGTGAGCGCATCGCCATTGTCCTGTGGCTGCCGTCGCACCATCCAAGTGGATGCACACTGGTGGTGGTGTGGAGATAACCCCCTCTCATGACTGTGAAGCGCTTTGGGTGTATGACCATACACAATAAATGCGCTATAAAAATATACATTACTTACTGGCATACAATAATTTAAAAAATATTCTGTATAAATATATTTTTGTTTGTATACATTTTCATATGTAAAAATAAAAGGCCATTTTCTCAAATAGACATGTTACAAACAAACCGAGTTGACCAATGTACTTAATAACAGTAGCTAAAAGCCATAAACAACAAGAGTCAAAGACAAAAACAAGTTTAAACAAAATACAAAAATAAAAAAAATAAAAGCTTTTACCTGGGAAAGTATGAAAAATAAACCCGATTATGTGTTAAATGGGACAGGAAAGTTTTTAGGTTTGATGTAAAAACAGACAAAGATGGTGCCAATGTAATAGAAAGGGGCAAATTATTACTAATGATTTAGTAGCATGTATGCGTGTGTTTATACATATTAAATATATACAGTGTATTCAAATATATAAATGCAAATTTATTTTTGATTGCAACCAATTACTTTTGATTCTATAATTAAACTTCCTATTAAATTTTCCCAATGTGTGTCCTCGTCACTCAAATATTTATGTTTGTCTTTCTTTTTCTTCCATGTGACAGTGCAACTCTCATCCTCCCTTCTGGCCTGAATAAGTGCATGTTGGTGTCTTAAGGAGTGTTTTCAGCCATGTGCTCCAGCGGGCAACCTCTGTGTGCGGGAAACAGACCCAGCAGTCGTGGGGGCTCCAGCTCTGGCTCTCAGTATGCCCTGTGTGCTCTTGGCGTGGGTTTGGTGGCACTCGGAGTGGTCATGATCGTATGGAGCATCGTCCCTTCTGAAGCTGCACAGGTGCACAATGTTACAGCCGCCAATAATGGAAGTACCAACACCGACCAAACCAAAACGTCATCCATCGCATTTGTGCTTGTTGGCTCCGGGGCTGCCATGCTCTTGCTCGCCATATGTTTAGGGGTGAGGAACAGGAAGCGGAGGAGACAGGGGGAATCTGCAGGTGCGAACGGTGCTGATTATGTGGATCATGTGCGTAGAGTTCCGGATGAGGAGTGAGTATGAGCTGTGCTTTTGTTCAAAGGGATTTTTAATTTAGATTAAGGAAATTCTTTTAAATAACTGAATGCCACAGTCATATTAAAACCACAGTCAAATGTTCAGATATGTTGTCATTAGCTATGTTTCCATCCGCCTATTTTTATGCGCATTTTGAAAGTGCCGTGCACATAAAAAAAAAACCATTGATGGAAACGCCAAGATGCGCATCAATTTTGAAAACGCACATAACTGAGTATGATAAACTTTTTATTCGATAAGAAAATATGCTCATAAACTACAATGGAAACACTTTTGCGGAACAAACTCCAGTATGCACATTAAAAAAGGTCATGTGATTTTCTTATAAGAGTTCATGTGATCAGAAAAATGTGTGTGAATGGACAAACCAGCAGGCTAAGCATCTGATCATCTGAAATGTTGTTTTGTCCATTCTTAAACGTCCTGACCATCTCAGTATTAGTGTTATATTAATATTGACCTCCAGAATCAAGAGCGTCTGTGTTTCGCTTCTCACGCCTTCAAATGCCAGAGTGTGTTCACTGTGTGTCAGCATTGCCTTCTGAGGTGCAAGTCATTTATTAAATGAAGAAAAGATTCACACAGCTTCTTTTATCACAGCAAATTCCGTTTTACTGTTGATAATTGATGCTAGATAATCAGGAAGTGACGATTTTGTTTGCTTTTGGAAACGCTGCTTTATGCTTTTGTGCGGTAATCAAGTTTTGCGCAGTTAATTCGCATTTTTGGATGGAAACATAGCTACTGTTGAAAGTAAATATGTGCAATTAAGCAGCATGAGATGATAACAGTTCAAAGCAAATAAATTAAATTACTAAGAAATAAATAAAGGAAGGAGAGTGCATCTATTAAATGTAAGGCATGATCCAAAGGCTTTTTAAAAACTGTTTCAAAGATTAAAAGGTTACTCACAGGTTTGTCATGGAATTTCTGGAATATCATGGAATTTTGCAAGGTCTGGCCACTTGTTAAAGGTGCCCTATGCAAGTTTGACACTCAGTGGTTATTGCACTCCTGGATCAAAACACAAGCAAGCGCAGGCTGCCAGATTGACATGAGTGTACCTGACAATTGAGCCTAAAGGTTAATTTGAACCGTTTTCTAACTGAAAGAAACGGTACAATAAAAGTAATATTTTTCATACTAAAAGGAGTCAGTTTTTGGCTTTACCATTATAAAAATGGTAATTTACAGGGTATTTTAGAAACAGCTTCTATTTCACACAGATGAACAACAGGATGTACTATGATCACCTCATGTCCTTTTTTCAGTGTTGAATGCTAATAATGTGAGTTTCAATGGCATTTTACATTTTATATTGCCATTTACTGAAAGCAGCAGCAGATAGTTTACCTCAGATCTTTAAAAAAAAAAAAACTTTAGAACTTTGATTCAGTGAAAGCCAAGGTACAAAACAAATATAAGTGATTCAGCATGTTCATATAATAATTTTAAAGTGGTTTAAAATATATTAATTAGATTTTAAACCGTACATTCTATGCTTCTGAATGACCGTACTTAAATTTCTGTCATGTTTCATCTGGTGCAAATGGCCAAATTGCTTATCACTGCAAATCTCATCTTGTAATATGTTGTTAGGACAAAGGTTATAATGTAACCGGCTCACCTAATGTTTGTTTGTAATGTTTATATTATTTGCTAATTAATAACCTCATGTGGACCTATGAAATTAGGGTTTGGTTGATAGACGATGCCATCGTCCATTGCGATCGCTAATAGACAAACCAAGGCTGAGCCGGCGAAACGAAACCGATCTACGTCGACACTGGCGTTTCATCTAGCTTTTCTGAACAGATCTTCGTCCACACTATACCGCTGAAAACGCACATCACGTGACCACACACACAAACACACACTGGTATGCCTGCAGCATATGCACACATCTGAGCTTCAGGCAGTCAACAGTTGCTTTGAGCACAAAAATCCTGCGCAAAAATCCTGCGGGAAAAGTGATTTACAGGTTGTAATTTGTGTGTAACTTTTTTTTATTTAATATGGTTATGGGTAAATAAAGACCAGGTGGGTCAGGTAGTTAAAACGGCAGGCTACAAATAATTAATTTGTTATAAATATTTAATTATTCATAAATAATTAATTCAACGCTGCTTACAATGATGATACCATCATCCATTGCAATGCTTTACATTAGACATCGTACGATACCAAATTGGTCGACATCGCCCAAATATAGTCTGAATTTGCATCTCATTTCGGAGTCAGCTTCCACCAGAGGTCACATTTCAGTCATGGACGCATACTTTGAGAGCCTTTATGACTAAATGAATATAAAACATGGTTTTCCAGCTAGGCAACCCGGGGTGCTGAAATATAATTGGTAAACTGGCATTAGGTGGGTTAAAAGAACCAAGACAAAGACAGCGTTATGACACAGAAAACATTCTTAAAGCATAATATCTGACTTCAGCATTTTTTTTCAGATAAACAAGAATGTTCTTTTGGCATGTTTCTTTAATATTTGAAAACATATTATGGTATTTTTATGCTTAAGAAGATTAAAAAACTTACATACAGCACTTTTAAGTGTGATGTCATGCGAAGCGGTTTTTGTGTCCAAGCTCTTTATCAAACTGTATGGGGAGACTGTAATACTTTTGAAAATCTCGATCGCAATATATATGTCCATGCCTAATATTCAAAAGCCAGAAAGTGATCAATTTTTTATATGTTGTTAAAATATTGGTGTCTGTGATTCAGCAAGCCCAGAGACTGTTTTGTACACCATGGTTGCATTTAAAATTCACTTTGATGTGTGATATGACTAAAAAGTGGTCATGAATGAATATTTTCTCAATACAATTAAGCAGCACCTTTGACCCGATTCCATACCTTGATTATTATTCTATATGTCAGGATTTAACAACTTAACTCCACAAGCGGATTCCAGACATTTATTTCATGCAGGCATGTTTTATTTATTCATTTATTTATTATTTATTAAAAGTCATGGAATATCATGGATTTTTGTTTGTCAACTAAATTGTACTTTTTATGTATTTCTTTTCTATAAAATGTTTTTTTTTTATCAGATTGTTTCACGTTTTGCCTATTGTTATGCTTAAGGCTATTTTTTCGAGCCATTTTATTTTTTTCCCCGTTGTCATACGGCATTCAAATAGATTAAAACATTATAATAGGAAAATTGGAGTTAAATTACAACATCAAAAAGCATCACACGTTGTTTTGTTTTGCTAAAAATTATTGGAAGTAAAAATCTTGGCACATTTAAAGGCCCCCTAAAATTAAAATATTGTTTTATAGATATTACTATCAGTATGTTAGTCTTATGATATCTATAAACTAGTGTGCTGTGCACCAAAACATTGACAAAATTGGCATTTGGAAGATTTAAACATCCACAGCTTGCAGTTTATCATGTCATTGTCATCCCCTCATACTTTAGTTTCTTATCAAATCTTCTAGCCAATGAAATGCTCTGTAGTATCTGACGTGTCCCGTCGGCTTAATTAGGCTTCTCATTGCTTTTCATTTGATGCACTTGAGCTCCGCCACTCTAACTTTCAGAGCTATGATTTAAAACTAAATGCTACATTATTGGCTGTTTTGTTTTAAAGAGGAGGAGTTACTTTGTCCCGCCCTCTCTTCATGCTTCATTTGAGATTGTCAAACGTTGAATAGAAAATGCACATTTTAAAGCACCTCCCAGACCTTTAAATTACAATGACCATGCTGCTCTTATAAGAAAAAGAAGGTAGATGGGTTATAGAAAATTTGCTTTTAGTCAGTAAAATGAGGGAAAAGTCAGGGAATTTGACATTTGACCTAATGTGGGAACCCTGTGCTCGCCTTCAAGTGATTTCAAAACATTGAGTTTGTTTTTGTTTTTGGGTTTGAAGATATTTTGATGAATGTTAGTGACCTGTAGTCTGTTGGTGGCCGACTTCAATAGAAACAAAAATATTTGGAAGACAATGGCTGCTAGTTTAAGCATTCTTCAGAATATTCTGTTGTGTGTAAAAAGTAAACAGAACTTGATGAGACAAGTGGAGAGCGACTAAATGGTGACAGGATGTTCATTTCTGGGTGAACTGTTGCCTTTAATGTCTGTTTAGGCTATGAATGAGTGAGAATTGGTTAACAATTAAATATAAAATACTAAATAAAAAAATTAAAGGCACTTTCATAAATATATATGGGGTTATATTAATGAAAAGAAAATGTGTTTCAATAAATTGTGATAAATTGAAAATATTTCAAAATATAATTTATTTATACATTAACAGCTGTAAAACTTTATGTATTGCATATATATATATATATATATATATATATATATATATATATATATATATATATATATATATATATATATATATATATATATATAAAACAAACTATTTATTTAATAAATATATACATATTTAGTAAATTAAGAAACTTGTTTGAATTTTTAAATGTAATCACACACACACACACATCTTTAAGGATTCATTTAATTTCTTTTGCTAAAATTAGTTACACTGTACATTAACATGAAAAATAATTCTGTAGTATTTATTAATCATAACATTAATTTCAACTAGGGTTGTGCAATTTGGGGAAAGTAGCTAATTGCATTTTTTTTTTTGACAGAAATTTCTATTTGATCTTAATTTTGTAGTCAAGCGTCAGCTTAATAATCTGTATCATAGCTTCTAAAATGCAGTGAGGGTTTGTAAAAAAAGGAACTGAAATTATATTACCATAAGTTAAACATTGGGCGACGCTGTAGCGCAGTAGGTAGCACAGCAAGTGCCTCACAGCAAGAAGGGTCGCTGGTTGGAGCCTTGGCTGGGTCAGTTGGCATTTCTGTGTGGAGTTTGCATGTTCTTCCTGTGTTTTCGTGGGTTTCCTCCGGGTGCTCCGGTTTCCCCCACAGTCCAAAGACATACGCTATAGGTGAATTGGGTTTCTGATAACTATTTTTAATGTTATCAGACAATGATTTTATCTGGAGAGACTTTAAATAATTTTTTTCAATGTGAATCCTTCTAAAATTGTACAATTTTTATCAAAAGTAAACCTTTAAAACAGTTTTTATTTTATATATTGTCATTATTATAATTATTATTATTCATGTATTTTATCTTGTGTCTTTATTGCTGTTGATGACTTTTAATTGTTAGAATATTTGTAAAATTTTAGAATAAAAAAAAAAAGCGATTTATAAAATGTGGTAAACTTGATCTTTTTTTTTTTTGCCATGAAACAGCTAGAGACCTCAACATTCTCTCTTTCTCCATGTCTATATTAGCTCAGCTGATGAAGCAGCACCAACCTACGATGTTCCGACCTACGAGGAGGCAGTGACCAGCGGCCAGTACCCCATTCGTCAGAGCAACTTACGCCAAAGCTACCAGCTACCCTCCTACGAAGATCTGATCACTGCTGTTGAAAATGAAGGCCAGCCACCGAAAGAAGGTAACACCCAAGAAGCCCTTCAGCCTCCTCCAGGCCCCGAACCACAGCCTGCAGCCCCAGCTCGCAGCACCAGCAGAGCCAGCCGAATCCTCAGACCCCTGCGGGTGCGCAGGATCAAGTCCGAGAAGCTCCACGTCAAGGATATTCGCCTGAACATCCAGAACCCTGCGCAGGGTGGAGTGGTGACCATTGAACCACTGACTCCACCACCGCAATATGAGGACAAACCCCCTCAGCTGCCCACCGGAGCAGTATAATAAGTTCTGTGCACAAGCCTAAAGTTTTCCATGGGTTCAAAATATGCCAAATGATGAATTAGAATATGTTTGTGCGTGTGCACTGTCTCTGCGCTTTTTGGACAAAACACTAAAGCCTACTTGAATGTGTTTCAGCAGACCTTTTCTTATTTGAAGAGCAGTATGTTGTTGTTGTTGTTGTTGTTTTTTATTTGAATCTAAATGAGGAAGGATATGAATGCCACTGAGCAGCTCTTGTGAGAGAGAGAGATTCATAGTTTACTTCCAAAGAACTACAATGTACGTTGCTAAAGCTAATAACAATAGAAATTATTATTAGATGATGACTTAGTTTTGTCATTTGCCAGATGTCATCTAGTTACTGTTGAAAATACCTTTTTGAAAACAAAAAAACTAAAACATTTCAAAAACATTGGGAAGGCTTTGTGAAAATCTGAATGTTCTGGTTGTCCAGCTTCATTTTTACTTTCAATTTTTATTGCAATTCTCTCAAACTGGATTCCTGGAGGGCCGCAGCTCTGCACAGTTCTGCTTTAACCCTAATCAAACACGGCTGATCCAACTAATCAAGGTGTTCAAGACTGCTAGAGACTATCAAGCAGGTGTGAGTCAGCCGTGGTTGGATCTAAAACTATGCAGAGCTGTGGCCCTCCAGGAATTGAGTTTGAGACCATTTATTTAATGCATTTGCACCAGATAACCAATTTACGTAAATGCTAAATTAATTTGTACTAATAACTAATTTGCTAAACTAATTTATTAGGTTTTACTCTGATTATTTCAATTCTAACATAATTAAATGTTCTGTATGTTTTTAAATATGCATCCCTGCCTGATCTGTTTGGAGTAAACCGTTTTAACTTTTTTATATATTGCTTACTGTATATAAAGGGTGCAAAATTTCCCTAAACTAATGGGAATTTAACCTCACCCCAATCGTGTTAGTGTGCATTACTGTAAAATTATATGATGTGTTATTAAAAAGAATTTCTGGCAACAACAAATGAAATTGCACCTTGGGGGACTTTAGTTTCTTGCAGAACTAAAGACTAATTTACTGAAGTTTGAAAGATTTGGCTCCCATTACACCTGCAGTTTGGAAATACAAACCATCATACAGCAGATGACGTAGTTTCAATCATAAAAAAAAAAAAATTTTTGTGTACGTGAGCTAAATTGCCTTTTCAGTCAGCACCTTTTAGGAAATGTACTTTTTTTTCTTTTTTTAATTTACAATTGTTGCTTAGTTTTAAGTCAGTGTAGTTTTTTGATTGGGGTGATCAATCTTGGAAACTTCATGGTGTTACTGTAGATTTTCCTTGTAAAAAAAAAGCAATAGGATTGTGGTAATTGTGACAATTAATATTTTAAAGCATAAGTGCTGTATTTTATTTATTTCTTGTGGGATTAAATAAAACTCTCTGAATCATTTTTTTTGTTTGTCTCTACAGTTCCCTGTATACGTTTAGAAAAAAACGTATGGGGGGGTTGTAACGCCCCCTAGTGGTTGACAATTGTACAACCAGCATTGCGTTACTGTAAATCATCAGAGATTCCCAAACTATGGCCCGCGATTTGGCCCATCATCCCAAATGAGAAGAGGGAGAATTTTTGTGGAGCGTCGGAGGTTAATGCTCTTAATACACATTGCCATTTCTATAGAATAGATAGAGCACAATTCAGAAGTCCTCAGTGAGCAAATCAAGGATGACTAGTGTATTCGGCAACTCCAAAGAGTTATAAAGGGAATTCTTATGTTTTCATTATAATAGGATATATATATAGCCCCCCTGTTGTAAATTAAGACAAGTGTGATTGCATTTTTCCAGTCTCATTTTTTTTCAGTTGTTGTTTAACAACCTGAATAATGATTTCAGTATTATGCTTATTTGACTCTGTGACTATAGCAGAGTGAATGAAGGTGAGTAAATTATTCATTCATTAATTTTCTTGTCGGCTTAGTGCCTTTAATTAGTTTTTTTTTTTATTTCTCTGAAACAACAGAACAATATTATGTATATATTTCCATAATTCATTTTATTACTCTTACCACACTCACTGTATTAATTTCCTCTTTAATTTTTTTCATTTATTTATCATGTTATTGTCTCATTTTGTCGCACTTGCTTTGTATTTCTTTTTTCTCATTTTAGACATCAGCCTGTGTGTGGACTGAAACCTGACAGGTATTTGAAGCCAAATCAAACTGTAGTCACGTGTCGCCCATGAGAGCTTAGCACTCATAATCAATCACTACATGAACAAGATTTCATAGGAAATTGATTGAACCTAGTGTTGAATTTCACACCACCCCACTCGAGGCCTGTGTGCCAAAATGAACCATTAGATAAATGCCTGTGATTTTCTAAGTTCCATGAAAAACAAATTAGGCTGTTACAGTTTCACCCAATCTAAACAGAGCCGTTTGAGTTATGCCTCCACTAAACTCTGCTCTTGCAGTTTACAACATTTCTCATAACGGCACTTTGAGATAAAAGTGCATTTTTATTGTTGAGTAGGTTTTGTGCAAATATTTTCAGTACTGCACAGTTGTTCTCAAGAAATCAACACTGAATAACCTAAACTAAAGCAATCCAAATGTTTCAGATTTTTGGGTTTAAAACTGTGCAACACTTTAAACAACTTTAATTAGTTGTGGCTTCAAACAGTAGTATATCAGCATATTATATGGCGAGCTTGAATGTTTTATTTTCATCAGTCAATCATGTGGTTTATTGTAGCTTTATGACATGGTAATAACTGTGCAGAGTTTTTAGTTCTTCTAGATGTTTTGTTTTATACATGATAATCAAGTGTTTTAGTGAAAACTTCCAATTTGTATTTAATGTCAGCTTATTTGTATCTGAGAGTGAACAGATGTTTTTAATTGTTTATTTCTTGTGTGTGTGTGTGTGTGTGTGTGTGTGTGTGTGTGTGTATATATATATATATATATATATATATATATATATATATATATATATATATATATTTATTGGATAAAAGTTTTAATAGATGCATTGTTATAGTTTGCATGAATTTAAATATTTATTTAAATTTATTACAAAATTAAAATTAGAAATCAGAAATTAAATAGTGTGTGAGTGTGTGTGTGTGTGTGTGTGTGCGTGTGTTTGCGCGTTAATATACATTTTAATTAACATGTTTTAACATCTCTCAGTGTGTGCTTATAAAATCATTTAAATATGTAAATAAGACAACATTTATTATATATTTAAATGCAAAATCATATATAATAAATTTATTTCCAATATCTAAAATTTAAATGTAAGGTATTAATGCAAAAATAGTCATTTTATTAATATATTTAACAGTAATATTTTATTTAAAATCTTAAATAATTTAAAACAAAAATACAAATATAGTTATTCCTTTTAAAATGCATAAAAATGTGTGAAAATTATTATATTAGAAAAAAAATCAATGTATCTATTAAGAAAGAGTGTTCATTTTCACCGCGTAAAATATTGAAACACTTTGGCAAGACGATCAAAATAAAACATAAGCTGACATCAATGATTAAATGACTTATCGGTTGTTCCACTCAAAGGTATGTAATCCGCTGCTGTTCATATGTATAAGCTTTAAAGTTTATTAATGAAAGTTACTATAGACCGTGTACGTAGACTCCTCCTCTTGCTGCAGCGCCTTTACGTGTAGTTTGTGTTCCCGCTTTTGCAGCTGCTCGGGCTGCGGGGGGAGGCGGCGCGTCTCCTGGAACAGCCAGCCCGGGGAGTCAGTCACATTCTTGGCCGGGATTCAATGACTGAACCAGACACAAACAAACACTGAGGGAGAGAGAAAGAGAGAGAGGGAGAGCGAGACTTGCACACACTCTCATAGTAAAGCGGAGGCAACTGCGCTTTTACACCAGCCACGCATTTTGCGCGTGAGTACTGTGATTTACACGGATTGAAGAATTACATTTCGACCAAAACTTTACACTTTTTGTGGGGGAGGATTTTCGCCTCGCTCGGAACTCCGGTTCTTTCTGGTACGACTTACAGAATCGGACATGAAGCAGTTGAATGGATTACGAGGCGGTGTTTTACGCTTTCGGAACTGACACGGACTGTCGCGACTCACATTTATGAATCTGTTGTGATTAAACTGCCCAGGTTTAAACATGGAGGCTCCTTCCAGCTTTCAGCCGCATCCAGGACTTCAGCAAACTCTCAAGCAGTTTCACTTGAGCTCCATGAGCTCCCTCGGCGGACCGGCAGCCTTCTCGGCCCGGTGGCAGCAGGACATGCTGTTCAAAAAGGACGGTAAGAGCGCCGAGGTGCTCGTGAACCTCCCCGCGCAGACGCCCCCGGTCATGCCGGGACCCCTGTTCATCCCGTCCGACCGCTCCACCGAGAGGTGCGAGACGGTCCTGGAGCGGGAGACTATTTCGTGCTTCGTGGTGGGCGGCGAGAAGCGCCTGTGCCTGCCGCAGATCCTCAATAGCGTCCTGCGAGACTTTTCCCTCCAGCAGATCAACTCTGTGTGCGACGACCTGCACATCTACTGCTCCAGGTGCACGGCGGACCAGCTGGAGATCCTCAAAGTTATGGGCATCCTGCCCTTCTCGGCCCCCTCGTGCGGACTCATCACACAAACAGACGCCGAGCGCCTCTGCAATGCCCTCATCTACGGCGGCACGTTCCCCCCGCACGCCGACAAAGAGTTGTCCTGCTCCATTGAGCTGGAGCGCACAGAGAAGAGCTTCAAAGTTTACCACGAATGCTTTGGGAAGTGCAAGGGCCTGTTCGTACCCGAACTCTACACCAGCCCCAACGCGGCGTGCATACAGTGCTTGGACTGCAGGCTCATGTTCCCGACCCACAAGTTCGTGGTGCACAGTCATAAAAGGCTGGAGAACAGAACCTGTCACTGGGGCTTCGACTCGTCCAACTGGAGGGCTTATATTCTTCTAGATCAAGACTATAGCGAGAAAGAGGAGAACAGCACACTGCAGCAGCTCCTCACTGAGTTAAAGGGAAAATTTGAAATGGGGAACAAGCACAAGACATCTTACAAGGTGAGCTCAGCCCTTCAACATGCAAATCTGCATGAAAATCTAGTGCTCCAGAGTTATTGTGCAATATTTTACTCCTATATGTTTATGAATGGTGTGTAATTTTACTTTATTGATTCTCATACTTTTGTATTGATCTTTTGCACTGTCTTGTGCGCAATTTGATCACACACCACCTATTAAGCTTGCCATCACCTAAAAATGTCCTATATCTGTGGTTTGTAATTAGTTTTTTCTACAAGACCCAGATTTAAACATACACAGTAGTGATCACTAATTTTTTTTTATTGTAAAAGCAAAAATGTTTTGAGACCATCCATGTGGACCTTAGATCTCCAACAATTTATTAATTTAAAAAGTACTTAAAATGAGTCGAGACAAGGTGACCTCAGCGTAATAATCTGGCCTCTAGTGCTTCAAACATATTATTGTGTAATTTTTTACTCCCATATATTTATTACTGCTGTGTAATTTTTCTTTATTGATTTTCATATATTGATCTTTTTTCCTGTCTTTGGTGCAATATGATCACACAACACCTATTACACTTGGTGTCACATCAGAAAACTGTCCTATAGCTGCGGTTTTACTTGCTGTTCAGATTTAAAGTAGCGACCACATTAAAATGGCTATTCAATCAAGAAAAAATGGTTCACGTCAAATAGTTTCATTGCACAAACACGCTGTACAATGCAAACCTTGCCTTTCCTTTCAGTCTATATTGTTTGTTCAATTTTAACATAAGGATAATGGGTACTATTTAATACCCATAGACCCTTTTATTGAACAGTTCTTAAAATAAAACCTATTTTGTTTGTATAAAGAACATTCCAGTAATCTTAAATGTTTTTTCTGGGTTATAAAAAAAGGTTATATGGATGTTAAAGATTCCAATTAGGAGCACATACACTGGTATAAAGCCTTTATGTTTAAGAATATGTTTTTGAATGCAGCACAAGCTCTCCTCTGTCAGAAACATGGGAAGTTTTATCCCCCTTTCGAATCATTTTGCATCATTCTTTACCAACTTTTTAAGATCATAACAGACCAACTGAAAACCACTGACCTATTGGTGACTTCCAATGCCATCTTGGGGGAAAAAAGTGCACAGTCGGACCACCAACCAACCTCCCCAGTGCATTTGTCTTGTGCCTCTGGATGCACTCAGGGCCATCTGCATATGATAAATGGAGCCTCAATTATGTATTTTATAGGAGCCAGAGATAGATGGGAACGCTTGGGGAAGCCAGCCGAGGAGGAGGAGGATAAGGGTGCTGTGTAGGACATTGTTTTGTGTGTGTGTTTTGGGTGGGGGGCAGGTTGGGGTTGAGGTCAATCTCCAAAAAGCAGTTGTTGTGGGGTCAGCGCTGCCCTTGGTCTGATCAGGCTCCTCACCAGGGTCAGAGACACGGCAAGCGGACAAAAGCATGGCAGTCTCGGGCTGGCTGCTCCTTCCACGCAGCAGCTGTTGAGTGTGATTGTGCTAATGGGTCTACACACATATATGTATGTGTTACCATGGTGTCACTTCGTCGGGCTTGGGATGCATGGTGTGGCGAATGCAGTTTCGTTAATGTGGGAAATGTGAGAGACATGGCACATTTTAGAAATGCAGCGTCATGTATATTTAATAAAAATGGCTTCTCTATATGAAAATGCTGGCTGATGTTTTGTCATGGCTGACTTGCCCTTTGGTGCACCTTGCATCTGGTTAGTTTAAAAAAGTGTAGCTTTTATGTACAGTTATCATTAGATGGTTTGATGTAACCGTGCATGCATAGCCTATATTTGTTTAAAATGTGTAGTAAGCATATTCCACTATCAGGATGTTCGTACAGTGCAGTAGTCGTAATGTATCCAGTAGGGTGGATTTTGTACAGTTTCTATGGTTCATTGTCAGAAGTGTCCCAGTTAGCAAGCTGGCTGGGTCCATGGGGAACGGTGTAAGAGTGAACCTGTATATTAGCCATCACCGCATGAGGTTGCTTGCAAAAAATTCAAGAAACAACAGCTAAGCACTTTTCATCAAACCTCAGTTTAATTGAAGCTTCTTATTTATTTGTTTTTGTAATTAAAACATTTAACTCTTAAGCTCTTTTCCTGTCTTGGAGAGAATATTTGCTTCATTTTGTATCTTGCAGAGAGTGTATTTTAGAGAATTACTGCTTCCAAATATTACTTTGATGGGAGACTGGTTGCCATGGTTAGAAGGTTTCTGAATCCTCAGGATTTTTATGTAATATACTTGTTCGCTGCAGTCAGGGCATACTGAGTTTGCTTTATTTTTAATCATGTTGGAGGATCTGAATTACAACTGGGCCGAAAAACAATATTATATTGAATTGCGATAAAATTTATGTTAATAAAAATAATAAGCTCCGGACTTTTTTACTCTAAATTGATCTATGAGCCAATCACACAGCAGAAATGTGCAACAATGGGAATCTTAAAGTGTGTTGATTAGGCATGGGCGGGTATAAGATTCTAAGATAACTTTGGAGAAAAATATCACTGTATCACGGCATTGTGATAACTGCACTAAAACATATATATATATATATATAACAATTAAAACAATATATTAAATTTTTTGAGAGATTTATAATATATATATATTTTTTTTAATTTGGAGCAGTAAACACATTAGGCTAAATAATGAAAATAAATTATTGACTTCTGTTGTCTTCATTAGTTTCAAAAACACTGATTTCTTTACAATTTAAAACAGCATCGTTGGAGATCTTTTCTGCTGGAGATACTATTCTAAAAAAATGTAAATAAAAAATTGTACACATACTTTAGGAATGGTATTACAGAAAATTTTGGAGGTTTTAAAACCCTGACTTTTCCAAACTGTGGTATACCTTAAAAACGATTATCATCTCATGCCTAGTGTTAATATTAGAGACTTACCAAATTTTTGGCCACCAAAAATGTATTTGCTGAAAATGTTAGCCATTTAATGGGCCCTCTAATTGTGGCTTCAGTCTTTGTTTGGGAACTCTTTTAAATCTGGAAGTAGGGTTGGGGGATTAACCGAAAAGTAATCAAAGTCAACATTCATAACCTATTATCGATCTATTTTTTTCAGAATAATTTTTTCAATTACTTTCCCTACCGTGTGTGGAGTCACGTGACCCCACTTTGTCAAGGCTAATTTATAGTTATTATATTAGGATTTCTATATATTATATTATTCTGATATTATACGTCTGCCAAGAGACCGTGTACGGTACGGCGCAGCCTTTGTATACCTGTGCACCTCAAAAAATTTAACTACACGTCAGCGTTACGTAGCAAAACTCTTTGTGATTGGTTGGTTTGGTATCACTGATGAGGGTGGGTGGCGGAGAGAGCCGCGTTTTAGCCAATGTGTGTTTTAATTTCAGTAGTTCAGCGTTGATGCTCAATAAATAATCAGAGATAGATAGTGCATGTTTACTTCAATTATTTTAAAATCAAGTAATGCACCCTACATTTAAAAATCTCTAACTTGTAACTTGAATTATGAGGGCAAAAACATAAAATAAATAAATAAAATAATCGTTCATTAATTGTAATCGAGTTAAAATGTTTTTGATTTTAGGCCAAATCACTCAGCCCTATCTAGAAGCATTAAAAACTTATATGGAAATATATATTGTTATCCGTCAATATGGAAAATAATTATCGAGCTTGCATTTTTGCCATATCGTCCGGTTATAATCTGAATTCATGTCTGGACTAGCTGAAATAATGGGGTAGATGGCTGGAAGATGGTGGCGAGTTTCTCATTAAGAATCTGTCGCCTCTGTCCGCCAGGGCCTTGACGTGCCGTCAAAGGGCCGTGACATGTGACCTCTCTCCAAAGCCAGTCAGCCAACAACCCCACCCCCTTTCCTTTCAGACAGTCCGGTCATTCGTGCGGCCCATGATTCTGCTACTGGACAGATGGTTGTTTGATAAAAGACAGAAAAATATATTACAAATAAAAAGATAACCAAAAATCACACTAGATTACATTTTGCTTGTGTCATTTGTGGGGTTTTAAACGTACTGTTTTTATCCAGTGTTGTCCTCTTCTATTTTTTATTATTTTCATATTCTAATATTAATTTGACATAAATTTTATTGTATTACTTTATTTTAAAGTACTTTTTTCACATTTATTAAGTTTAATATCCAAGACTGAATATTCCTCAGAATTTTGTTAAATGTCATGCCAATTAATTCCCTGATTTAATTATAATTTTCATATTTTAATATTAAATTTTGTATACTAATGTTTTGTGTTCCAGTTTTATCAGTATTGAATGAACCGATGCACCTTGTGTTGTTTAATTTGAGTTCCAGCCTCCTCTTTAACTGCATATTTCAAGTGCATGTGTATTGTCCTGCCAGAAATGAAGTAAGACTCCAGCGAGAAAAGTGCTGTGTAATAAATTGGATGCAGTGGGGCTGCGGAGCTTGGGGTGGGGGGATATCAAACTCCCCTTTGTTCTGCTCTCTCACTTTATCAAATTACAGATGACTCCCAACCTGAGACCAAACCAATCAACTGAGTGTCCGACCCAAGGTGGCTGCGGCCAAAATAAATGCACACGGCCTGGGGGATGGAGGTCACAATGTGCGTGCGAGTTTGCATTTATAATGCCAGGATCAGCTGTGGGGAAAGGATTAAAATGAACGCACAGCCTACTCATTTCCATTCCCATCTGTCTGCTGACCTCGCCGTTGCAACCTGCACTGACCAGCCATGCTCTGCTTCCAGACTGCCAGCAATTTCATCCCATTTCCCCAGCCTCCTCCCCACCCAAACATTGCAAGTGCTACTTATTCATCCATTGCAGCCAGGCAGGCCTATTCATCCAGAGTCCATAGCACATCACGTCAGCCCTCAGCCGGCACACAACCCCCGCTGCTCAGAATCAGATGCTCAAACAACACTGGCTGCCTGGGGTTTGACTTAGCTGAGTCAAAATCTACTTTCAGACGCCTATTCTCTGAATTTTAAAAGGGCCGCT